GATACCGCACCGTGACGTCACAAACCAGTAGGTGGCAGTAGTGTTCTTTGACAAACATGGATGCCTCCAGTAAAGCACATTCACATGAAAATTACTCTGAATTAAAAACATTGATCATTTATTGAACAGACCAAAGAAAAGCCTTGTTTTTGCTTAGAAAACATGCAAATTGAACCTGATGAACGGGTCCACACCTTAGGAATGGGGGTCATTTTGTTTCTTTGTTAGCCTCTGATACCCGAATACCTGTCTATGTCTCTGAAAGGGGGGTTGTTAAAGGGAATAGTTGGCCTGGCTGAAGAGGCGAGGTCTTCTGTTCTCCTGTAAAGGGGTTTTGGTTGTGATGATAGTAGGAAGGAATCAACTCTATCGCTGAATTGTAGGTTTTTGAAATTTAAAACCTGAGTCCCCTCCTTTTAAGGTTGGTTTTCCTTTCTGAACATAGATGCTTCCTTCACCTCCCTCTCAAACCACCTATCTTCTCTGTCCAAAACAATGTCCTTAGCCTATAAGGTGTAGATGTAGCGCAGAGTCTTTTCCAGAGGAGGGCGCTCTTCTGTGTTGGGCCATGCATCTGTGGAGAGGTTGTTTGGTTTCTCCAATATAAAGATCAGAGCGTTCCTCTCTGCATTGAACTGCAGACACCACACTGCTCATCTTAGGTCTGGGGGTTTTGTTTTTTCTTAATTACAAACACTTCATTTATTAAAAAGTATGTAATAATTTCATATTTGAAGTAATTTCAGAAGTTTTAATTAGTTTATTGATGTCTTGCTGGTAATTTCTTATTCTAAATGATCGTTTATTTCCCTGTTGCAGACAGATGGACTGTTTATCAGCTCTGAGTTTAATTGGTGGCATCTATGAAACCAGTTAACAGAACATATTTATGGATTTTGATATTGATATAGAGCTCATATTTTTCAGAATTTCCATTCTTTCTCAAAGCTGTTTTCCTGGTTTATTGAAGACAAATAAAAAAAAATCTCTTCCCTGACCGTACAAACAAAAGTTTAGGTGGTATGAATATATTTGATGGTATGGTAATTGTTGACATGCTGTCTGTTTGTCTGCTATCTGATTTATCCAGAGTTATTTTTCCCGTGGCGGAGCCCCCTTCATCGGGATGATAGTCAGCCCGTATGACTCCGCTAACACTTCACCCCACTCCCAAATCACCTGCCTGTTGGTGAAAGAAAGCAAAGAGCCCTCCGGCCAAAACAGTACGTGAAGCGCACACCGACACACGATTCAAAACACCAGAACAACTCCGATCGAGAGGCCGGACAATCAAGCTACAGTTTACCGTCACAGATTTAGTTTTTTTGCGCACAGCGACACCGTTTTTCTCCCCTCTTTCTGTTCCTCCACAGAGCTGCCGTACAGATTCAACTTCCTGTCATCACAAAATCCTCCTGACTGGAAGCAGACCATGAGGAGGGCTCAGTGGATCATCCAGAAATACGCCCAGTCACATGGGTCAGTGATAATCAGGACGGAAATCCCTCCACTGGTGTGATCAGTGTCTAAAAAGTTTTTTTTGTTCTGGTTGGGCAGGAGCGTGCAGATGGACAGGTTGTTCCGCAGAGACTCTAGTCTCACCTGTTTGGAAAAGGTAAATATGATTCCTTGGTTCTTTCTGTGACTCCCTCAGTCACTCACGGCCGTATCTTTCTCTCTAGATGTTGTCGTCTTTGGCCAGACACTTGGAACCCCTGGCAGATGGAGAGGGAGACCATTTCCTCTCAGAGATCCAGTCCCTGTTCCTGTCAGAATTTATCTCCAAGCAGAAATCCTTATTTCAAGGAGACGGAAAACCTTTAGACATCTCAAAACCCGTAGAGTCAGATGATGACACTTTGGATCATCTGGTCAGTCAGGAAAAGTCCCACAAGGCGGAGGAGGAGGCTGAAACAAATAGTGGCTCAGTTTTGCATTTAGGCTCAGTATTAACAACTGAGCACGACTATTTGCTGTGAAAATATTTGATGTTTTTGACTGAATTATTTAGCAGAAATAATGTTTGAAGTAAACATATTAACATTTACATACAGTTTTATACTTTAGGATTGTATTTTAATGTAGAAACCTCTTGTTTAAAATGGTTAAAGGTGAGAAGGGACTTGGTTTAATGCAGCGAAGGAATTGGATATGAGGCGGGACTCGGATTTAAGCTAAACGACATAAATACTGTCGTTTAGCTTAATATTCCCGTAGAGTTTTCTGAATAATTGGAAACCAAGTTTGTGTTTGAGTGTGTGTGTGGGGCTATACCTGTGGCTATATTACAAAATAAACTATTTTTATATTTGTTTTAATGCATCTATACATTTATTTATTTACATAATTTTTTTTTATTACATATACTATAAGACATTTATGACTTCAAGAGCTGACACAAGCTTTTTCTGCTCCATCAGGGACAAAAATCACCCCTGACTCAAAACAAAGGGAAACTTGCCTTGCTGCGCATATTAAAAGATTTGTCAAAAACTATAATTTAAATGGTTATTTAATCATTTTTCATGTTTATGTCTTAACTGGAGTCACTTTCCTTCACCTTATAGTGATTGTTTTTGTAGCTTTTTATGAACATGGCCCTGTACTGAATTCTGTAAATAGGTTTTCAGTTCCAATGGTTTTAGTTTTATACTTTTAAAATTGACAGTATGTAGAACATAGCTTAACAAACTTGTAACAGCTTTTGTGGTTCTGTGAAGGCCAAAGAATTACCTCTGAATTAATTTCTTCTTGAGTGCTTATATAACGCCCTGTACAGATCATTAACATATCTATAGAGCTACTCTTTATTTTCAGAGAAATTAACAACAAGAAACGCGTTTATCCACTTTCTAAATCTATTACTTTTGTATTAAATCTGGTTGTATGTGAAGAGGAACCAACGTTGCAATCTGTTTCTGGTCGGAATCATTACGAAGCAGGAACATCTGCTCTAACATTTCTCTAAAGTTACGTAACATCTATTTTTTAATGAAGCACCGGAGGGGCGGCGTTAAGGAATAAGAAGGCTTATTTATCTTGGTTTATAAAGCCGTTGTATCGCTCAGCTTTTGACTCTACGCCAAAACCTCAAAGGGCCGCCATCGCTGGACAGCCGTTACCAAGGTTACGGGCTACCAGCCGGCTGGCGGTAATGACTTTGACAGCTAAAACCGGAAATACAGCTTAAAATGTTACCGATAAACTTGTAAAATGTTGATATTACAGTTTCACCTTAAGTTATATTTACCTGTATCCGTTACCGGAAATGATACCATTCCTGTCCTGTAAAGTGGCACCTTTTAAATGGAACAATGGCCTTTGTAATCGGTAACTTTTTAGGAAACGTTCGCCGTTTTTATTTTCAGATAAATCAGACTCGAAGCTTCCTGCTCTGTAAGCGAACCAGTTGTTATTTAAGGAATAACTCATTCCCAATATGTTCTTATGCCAAATATACCCCTCCTAATTCGATAGTCTGCGCGAATAGACTGTCTTTTTTGCGATGTGGCAAAGTGAGGACAGCGTGTCCCCGGACAGGTCCCCTGCAGACACAGTGGGGCCCCCACTTCCACACCTCCACCCCCAGGAGAGCCCTTCCTGCTCCCCTCCTATGGATGCTGCTCAAACCTCTGCAGAAGCTTCTGGCTATCCTCCTGGGAAGGTAGGAAACACATAGATATAGATTATTTATTTGGCAGAGACAGGGTTGATTAAGGAGCATTCCTGCAAATGCACCAGAATTCACCAAAATACTATTTTTCATCTGATGTCCCTGAAAAGATCTTAAAATTGTCTACCTAAAAACACAACAGTAAGAATTTTACAGTGAAAAATACAAATATAAAAAGAAATAAAAACAGCTTTAAAGGTACACTATGCAACCGGTGTTGATTTTCCAGCGAGGCTCCCCCCAGA